GGGCCCGACCCAGCCAGGCCGGGTCACCATTTGTAAGCACCGAGCCCGCCCCGCCCTACACCCCCGGTTCGGGTATCCACCCGGACCGCCAGACCGGGCCGGTCCCGGGCCCGCACAGTAGCGGGCCGGGCCGAGTCACGGGCCGGGTGGCCCAAACCGAATCCAGCACTAGCTGCATACCCAAATGAACAACACAAACACATACACATAGCGCCAAAATTCACATTAACTATCAAAGTTAATTGCTAATAGTGTAGCTCTTGGTAGAGAATGCCAGGTAATTAATTTGTTATCAATTGCAATACATAATGATGACATAAATAGCGGCCCACCATTCAGCCCAATACGGTAAGCCCGGTTGAATACGGATTGAGCCCGTAAATAAGATGGACCAGGTGAGCATGGACCCCAGTGAGAGACATGCAATGGTCCACGCACTCGGATATGGAGGCCACTTTCGTGGCGCGCTGAGCATGACTTGGTCTTATCTCTACAAGAAGACTTGGACATGGTGGGCTCAGCATGACACAAAGGGGATTGGAGCATTGCATGTTGGGCGCCACATGGTGCACTCCTCACTTCGGCGTGACAAGCTACTATTCTCACTCAGACATGACACGCCGCTACGCGCGTGGTGCACAACTGCTTTCATTATTGCACAAGCATGATGTTACTTCCAGGAAGCTACGTGACTAGCAGCAAATCCCGAAGATCACAGGTCACCTCATGACTAGTCCCACGAATCACAGAATGGTGGCACGTCAATTCAGGCATGGCGACCACGTCGCCCGAATATTTCTTGTCCCGATTTTGTATTATAAATTCATGTAACTCTTGAAAGAATGGCGAGCTGAATACACTACATATATTTATCTCTCTAAATATTATTCTAAGTGCTTTAAATATTTTCGCCTATCTCTTACTCCCTCCGTAACATTCATATCTTCACACTTTCCTTTTTTGGACGTAACATTTATATCTTCCCATTTCTAAATCTTCTTATCATACCCTCAATTATTTAAAAAATAATACACTACTACACCTACTTTTTTTGGATTTATCCTTCATTCCATCACATTATTTCACCATCTTCCCGTCATACCCTCAATAATTCATACCCCATTTCACTATTCTTAATCACACTCACTTTGGAAGTGGGAAGATATATGTGATGCGGAGGGAGTATTAATTATTTTATGATGGATTTCCACCACAATTCACATAACAAGTTAATAACCTTACCTAACAACATGCCCACGTACACAGGTACTCTATATATGAATCAAATTGCAATTAAATCTCCATTAAATATTCTTAAAAAGTTGTGTACCATTTTCCAGATGAATTCTGGTGCATTTTTTAGTTATATCTATGTGTACCAATATTATACTCCTGGATAAGAGTTTTTTTTTCTCAAAATAATGCAAACTAAAAAATCATTTAAGAAATTGAGATTGGGTGAAAAGTATTTCTCAAGCCAGAGGAGAAAACACAATGACCCAACAACGTAGCAAGTTCAACTCAAGCCAGAGGAGAAAACTAGCCAATTAAGGGCCACCGAAATAAAATCTCCTTTTCTTAAAGTGCTACAACTATTCTTAATATTGCACATATAAAATAAAAGTTTTGTCATTGTTATTGATTTTTTAATTATTTCATTGTTATTGAATTTATGAATTACAGTTGAATTTAAATGACACAAAATACTAAGTATGACTGTAGGAGTATGTTTTGTGATATATTTAGTCCGTATTTCGCAGTATTAAGTGTTTTTTCCTTAAATATTATTAATAAAAATATAATAGACAAAAATGGGACTTAGTAACTATTAGTGACTATAATTGTGTTCACAATTTACATCACAATAACTTACATTTAATTACTACTATGTAAGTTTTGAACACAATTGTAGACACTAATAGTTAGTAAGTAGTACTACCTCTGTCCTAAAATAATTAGCCAAATTCAAAACTTTGACCTATGATATATAATTATTGGAAGTTATTTATAATATAAAAAATGATGTGAAAATGTTCTTTAATTTGTTAAAAGTATTTCATAAAAGTAGAGAATTTATAACTTTTATAAAGGGGTGAATGGGTGAAGTGGCTATATAACCACAAAAATTAGGTAGAGATTGCGCATGGAAATTTTGTAACCGATCTTGTGAATTTTCGTTTTTCATGGTGGGTAAAGCTTTTTCAATCTTGTTGTTCTGATGCTTCAAAGTTCAAACACTCGCCCACTGCCTAAACCACCACCTTGCTCTAGAAAGAAAAAGATGATCAATTGGATCTCCTTTTCGGTGGCTGGTCAAACCGATGCTTCAAAAAATTTCTGCTCGATTGATTTTCTTTTGTTGGTTGCTGGACAAACCAATTCTCCCTTTCCGGTGGCTGATGAAGCCGGATCTTTTAGTATTAATTTTTTATTTTCTGTTTAGAGTAGCAAGCAAGGCTATTAGGCTAGACTACATTATCGCGGGGTTAGCGATCTGGAGGGATTTATTGAATCTGTTCCGTTCTATGTCTCATCCCATTGTAGCCTTAGACAATTCATTCTCTTGTATTTTTGGTATCGTTTAATAATAACTTAGTTATTTGATTTTAAAAAAAAATCTACTTAAATGTAAAATTATTAATATGTAAAAAAATGTAACCATTAGAAAAGTAATACTTGTAAAACACCAAATTAGAGAAAAATGAAAAATTAAACTACTCAAAGTTTATAGTCGTTTGAAAAATCCATAGTAAAGTATTCAATGTTCAAATATTGAAAATTTAAATTTAAAATTACTACGAAATGAAATAAAAATGTAAAAATGTAAGGAATTGAATTTTAAAAAAAAAACAGTAAATTGCAGAAAGATGTATTGAAAATTTAGAATACAAAACTCAAAAGTAAAAATGAAATAACTCTAGGTTTAAGAGTGGAAAAATCTACCTTTATCTAAAAGCAAAAGATTTCAAGGAATAATGTTCCCGCCTATATACGTCAACTTCAATCCTTATTTATTTATTAGTCAAAATTAATACAAAAACAAAAAGTAATGTGCAGATACATTGCTCGGTCAAGACACAAAGGATTGAGTTTAGGCCTTTCCTATTGGTCCAGAAAGAGGTGGGCAGAGGTGAAATGTATTTACAATATTGGTATTGGTCCAAAGGGGGGGTGATCACTGTTGACAGAAAATCAATGATTGATGTAGAAACACTGTTTACCATAAATTGTTTCTATTGGTCATAAAGGGTGGTGAACACTGTAGATCCAATTTGACACGCCATTCCCAGCAATTAGCATTGCCATTTGCCAATTAGCATTGCTACGTTTAACTATAAAAGCAGCAGTCCTGCATCAGACTTCACACACCCATTCGCACATCAAGCTCCCGTAGCAAAACAAGAAATATATTTCCTTCAATAGTTCAATATGGTTGGTATCTGGTCCATGATTCCTGTGATTGACCAAAGCCGGACAACTTGGGCCATAAAGGCAAGGGCCACAAGAGTGTTCCTGAACCTGCTCATACAGATATGAAGTTATGCAAAAATATCTACTCCGTATATATGAAGTTATTCGAAAAATATGAAGTTATGAAGGCTACCAAATATGGAGTAAGTAATATGACAAAATGAAAACATGGTAATTTTATGTTAAATTAAACAACATACACAAAAGAGCTTTCAAACTATCTTTGGTCATCTTTATCCTGTTTTTCATACGGAGTAGTTTATATTTGATGATGGGGAATGGTTTGTTGTCATTATATAATGACACTTGCCAAAGGAAAATTACCTAGAGGAAAACTTTGTTAGTATATGATTTACTAAAAGTAGCTATTGTAACTTTATATATATATATAGTGTACATGTAGTCACGCATACACACACAGAATATTGTATTAAAAGCTACTTTGTATCATCTTTACAAAAATATAAGCATGAATCAAGGTAAGGGTATTTTGGATATTAGAAATTTGTTGGTGGTACATCATAGCTTCATAAACATGTACTATGTGCTTGAGTAGATGTACTCTATCTTCTACTTTTCTCATCCGTAAACGTCTATCCGTCTATATCTACCGTCGTCGTTAGTAAAACATCCGCCTCAGTTCAAGATTATCCCTTTCAATTCCACAAAGTGCCACATCGAATTACTTAGCCGCTCAGAATCGACTTCCTCCGTGGAAGATTACCGCCAGCTCTACTGACCTCCTTCTTCCCTTTCATCGAATGGTTTTAGGTATGGTTTAAGGTATTATCTTGAAGAAGAAAACCCTTGAGAGCTTCTCTCTGCCGGGTTTCTCGATCCAGCATTTTCTTTCATTCGCACAGCGTTATGGAACGATTTTTCTTGAGTTTGGGAGATTAGGTGTTTTAGAGATTGTTTTCTTTTTTGTTCTTGGTCATAATCCATCTCTGAATAGCTTGGAAGGATGATTCACGCACAAAAACCAGAAAACGATTTCTTATTTTCAAATATGATATATCAGGTTTCCAAGTTTCAATTTTCAAAAAGAATATCTTCCTTCTGACGATTACTTTGTCTTGATATTCGTATATAATTTTTCAGGAAAAAAGTTATAGGTTTGAATGACTTGCTAAAGGACTACTACAAGGAGAAAGTCACCATTGAGGAGAAGGTTAAGAATGGTGCAAAGGTTCAAAAAGTCAGCGATTCTGATTCTGATGACATTAGTGCCAGAGAGGTAAGTTTCATCACTGTTAACGAATTCCAAGAAAAGGCAAAAACCTTTCCTTAAAACATGTGTTTTTATGTTTCATATGGAATAACTCTGTAACTTCTTATACACTTCTATACTTACTTTCTCCCTCTGAATCAAATAAAGGCTAATGATGAGATGCCTATGTGGGGGTGTTCAAGTATTTGGTTCTCAGGTAACTCATGAGCAGGATTTTGACATTGATAACGTGAATCGTTTTATTATCATGCATTTGTTTTTGTTTCCGCAAAATGAATGAAGGTGTATGTGGTGTACATGGGGAGCAAAGCGGGAGAAGATGACCCAGAAGAGACCTCGAAGAAACATCACTATATGCTAACTTCTATTCATGGTGGAAGAGGTGAGGAGGCTAAGGCATCTCATGTGTACAGTTGTACGAATGGTTTTAATGGGTTCGCTGCAAAGCTGACACCGGACCAGGCCACTGAAATTGCTAAAATGCCCGCAGTGGTATATGTATTTCCCAATGCCAAGAGGATCCTTCATACAACCCGTTCCTGGGACTTCTTGGGCCTTGGCGTCCAAGAAACTATGGAAGTTCCTAGCTTTTCCACCGAGAACCAAGTTAATGTTATTATCGGCTTTAGTGATACAGGGATTTGGCCTGAATCACCCAGTTTCAGTGATGCTGACATGCCACAGGTGCCAGAGAGATGGAGGGGCCAATGCCAAACAGGAGAGGCCTTCAATGCTTCAACATGCAACAGGTTACCTTTGTCAAGGATTCTATCAGCAAAGACTGTATTAGGTACTCGGCCTGCTCCACGTGTGGCTGCCTTCTCTTCAAGAGGCCCTAATTCTATAACTCTGGAAATATTGAAGCCAGACATTGCGGCTCCGGGTTTGAATATCCTAGCTGCTTGGTCTCCAGAAGCAGCAACAAAAGTGAACTATAATGTACTCACAGGAATTGTAGCCTAGCCTTGATAAAAGCTGTTCATCCCTCATGGTCTCCGTCTGCGATCAAATCTGCAATCATGACTATAGCTACAGTTTTGAACAAGCTTCACAAGCCCATTTCTGCGGACTCAGATGGAAGAAGGGCAAATGCATTTGACTATGGCGCTGGTATGATGCGCAACCAACAGATTACAAGGCCTTCCTTTGCTCAATCGGCGGTCATGATGAGAAATCGCTGCACTTGATCACCGGAGACAACACAACTTGTGATCAAACGCCCCCTTCGCCCTCTGCCCTTAACTGTCCATCCATCACAGTTTCAGCCCTCAATGGGGAGGTTTTGGTCACTAGGACAGTAACAAATGTGGGAAAGGCAGTGAGCGTGTACAAGGGGGTGGTGTTTCTCCAAAGGGAATCAATGTGACCGTGGTGCCTAGACAACTTTCATTTAGTCACTATGGTGAGAAGCTTAACTTCACCTTAATCTTTAAGGTGGCTGCTCCAACACAAGGCTATGTTTTTGGTTCCTTGTCATGGAGGAGCAAGGACATCTGGGTTACTTTGCCGCTTGTTGTGGGAGTTGCAGATTCCTAGATCGATTAGGGTGTAATATCATACAACAATACTTACCAGCAGGATACATCATAATGTATTAGTAGCACAAACAATCACAACTTCAAGATCGAATGAAATGTAAATTATTGAATTTCTGTCTCTGGTCGGAGGCATTGTTCTGCAAAAAAAAACACTATATATATATATATAATATGTCTTCCATATTATTTCCAGAAAATTTTCCCCAGACTGGATTTCCTTGGCATAAAGCAGTGCAACTATCTGCATTCTTTCTCGAATCGTGAGCTTAACTCGATTGTTAACTCAAAATGGAGGAAGGTCCGAGTTTGTGATTTTATTTTATTTAGATTAAGTCCCTTTTTTTCCTCCTCATAAATATTAAGAGTACATATATTGAAAATTGCACTTGTTCATATATGATGTCTTAGGATGGAGTTTTCTTGAAGGCTTGCTCCTAAATGGGTGGCTTTTGAAGCTGATCAAATCTCATGGCTGCCTTGAAGAAACCATTGCAAAATGGAGCTTTAATCTCTTTTAGTAAACTTTTACATCTAATTCTTCCAATTGATAATTTATAAAAATAGATTTCAGTAATCCCTTTGTTTATTTCAGTGTTATATTCACAAAGCTCCAGTTGGGAAATGCAGCCTGCAACTTTTGGTGTTCCATTCTCTTACCAAACAGTGATGTTGTTTAGTATATTTTCCAAACGTGTTTTGTATCTGAATGCTTAAGCAGATACTTTAAATGCTTAGTGAAATCTTGGAGCAGAAAAGATCAAATACTATTTGATATTTTCTTGGTTGTTTTGTCTATTTTGGGTTAGTGCTCCAAATCCATTCATTAATTGATTTATTGGTTAAATTGTAGCTTCTTATGGTCAACACTTGGTAAGTGAAGTTTGTCAACTCTTTTGACACTTTTTGGGTATTGGATAACAACTTCCTGTGAGAAAATAAGTAGACATTTTTCTGAAATAGTTCAATGTTTTCAAATTTTCTATTTCAATTTCAATTTATATAGTATATATAGATTGAACAACTTTTTTTAGAAACCCGCACTTAGAAAATATTTTCCACAGAAAGCTTGATTTTTTAGTACTTGTATTCAAGGATTGGATAGACTAAAACTTGATAAAACTTTTATCATGTTGCATGTAAATTAATCATTAAATCAGATCTTCAGAAAATAATTTTGTTTTGTTTGTTGTCTTGTGCTTGAGTTATAAACAATGTACTTGAAAGTTGAAAGAGACTAATTCTCCATTTTATTTTGCAGTGGACAATTCACCAAATCACGCCAATAGTCAAAATTGTTTACTGGTAGGCGTTAGATAAATAGAATAACTTCTGATAAGCTCAAAACAATAGTACTAAATTGTGAGTTCATAGTATTTTGATTAGTAACTTTTATATTGCAGACAAGAGTACTAAAATGTGAGTTCATATTATTTTGATTAGTAGCTTTTATTCCGCGCATCAGAAGTGGCAAGACTGCCCCCCACTTCAGAACAATACAATGCATATTTAATGTATAGCTATAGATGTTTATTACTGAAAGTGTAATTCATACTTAATAAAATGCTACTACCTCTTGAACAATATTTTATAAATATATATCACTGAATCTTATATTTCTATTGATTTTCGTTTACTCTACATCTTTTGTATCTCATAAATAGCCTTCGTTTGGATAGCAGAAACTTACACAAACCGCTATTCTTTTATTACTAGAAACAGTGCATTTTGCATCAGGTGGGTATCAATCCGCCAAAAAACAAACGAGGCCAGAATCATGTGTGTGTCCATCCATTATTAAATCAAACTAAGAACCATTAGTATTTAGATATGTATAAGAACATTTCTCGCTAAATTTATGATACTTTTTCTTATGAAATTAGGAAAACATGGTCGACTTTTTATTTGGGTGTGCTTTTTTTTTTTATTTTGTTAGGCCCTCTTTCATGAATCATGACGATTGACGAAGGAACGGTAAATACTCTATTTCTAAGTTGATACCAATGTTAACATGCCACATGTAAAAGTAATTATATCAAATGAACATACAATATATATACACTTTCTTACAGAATCACATTGGGCATCTGTTCTATCGCGCAACGCGCGTGTAGAAAACTAGTACGTAGTATAAAGGTTTATGGCCTCAATAGGAACAGACAATGCTCATGCATTGAAGAACATTAGTTGTTCTAGGCTTCCAACTTTGATAATAAGAAAAGTGGCCGATTCTGTTTTCTTAATTAATCATTTGCACTTATTTATATATTATTTTCAAAACATGATTTATATGAAGAATTAAATATGAGCCTCTATATGATTTTCTACCTTAACAGTTAACACTAATGATTCAATTAGAAAATTGAAAAGACGGAGTATATCTGAAACTATCATGGTAACATAAATCTAAAATTGATTAGGATAAAAATACATCTTGATCAGAAGTTTGTGTGTGAGGGGATAATGCAGTTATAGATTAGGTACATCTACAATACGATATATTCATATGTAGTTATATGCATACTGTAAACTATTTAAGAAATTTCCTTTTTTGAAAAATAATCTAAAAGAATTTACAAAACAATTAAAAATGAGTATATCTATGGATAATCAGTCAAAGCCTTAACAAAATCAGTACTCTAAAAATAGTTAAAACACACATATCTAAGCAACTTTACCTAATTCAGATTTTTCAACCAACATATGACCTTGGTATAGTTGAATCACTGAATCAGTTTAAAATTAATTTGCCAAGACAAAAGATTCTGCAAATTCTGCATTAACAACTTGGATAAGATAAAATCATAAGTCACTCATTTAATTTGCATTTATACAATAACAATACAAGTAAACAAAGAAAATACCGGTCAAGTTGTAAACTCCTTATGGACACCCGTTGGAGATAACCCTTAATATATAAATAGAAAAATTAGGAGTATTTGGGAAGAGATTACTGATAAAAAGGTACAAGTAAAATGATTCATTTTTTACCTTCTTGAGCTACCTCTAAGTTGTTTGCTATGAGATTGAAAGTTACCGTGGAAGCCAAAGTGAGATTTGTCGATCTAGAAGAAAGAGCTCAAGATGCATACAAGGGATTAAAGCCGAGCTCAAGATGCATACAAGGGATTGAGGAAAACAATATATCTAACTTCAAAAAATTTAAGAATCGAAACAAATGGTTAGCATTCTACGCTCATTCGATCTTCTCGAAGCTGCGATTGAAACCCCCAACCTCTCTCTCTCTCTCTAAAATGGTGCACTGCGTTTCTAAATGATCCACCGACTTTCCTTGCCAGTATTTTGTTTGGATCTGCTCAACGCCCCCTGTTTTCTGGACTGTTCGAATGGGCCGTGGATTTGGATCTTTTTGGCCGGTCCAACTTAGTTCACTCATAGCATGTTGTTTGCTGTATTTTTTCTTTTTGATTTACTTGGTTTGCTATAATTTGCCTTCGGGTCTGATTTAATAAAATTGGTTGTTTCCTTCAAGAAAATAAAAAATAAAAAAAGTGTGAATTGAGTTTAACCATTTGGGGGTTGACAACTTGACATACGCTCACATACGCATATTGTGTATGTGTACTTTGAATGTGCTACCATTCTAGCAATATCGGGCTGATTTGGCCGATTCTGCTGAAATTTGTGAAGTTCTGGCTGAATTAACTGCATTGACAGATTCTGATGTTTTAAGAAAAAATTATTATAAAAATATATTTTATTAATAAAATAAAGAAAAAAATAAATGTAAAAATAGCTAAAAATGGTCATCTACAGTAACTTCAGCCAATGCAGCTTGATAAAATTGGTAATAAAATAAGAATACGTGTTTAGTGAAAAAGTTGGCTGATAAGCTTGATAAGTCGAAAAACAGTGTTGCCAAACAGCTTCTACCTATTCTTATTCTGCCTTTCTAAGCCAGCAACTCAAATAATTACACTTGCGTCGTTTTTATTTCTTACCAGAAAATTAAGTAGCTTCAATTGAGTTGAGTTAGTATAATTAAATGGAGTTTAATACTTAGCTTAAATGTTTAGAGGCTAAGGCTATGTTTGGACTGACAAGCTGAAAAGACCTTTCTTTAAACTTTTTAGTAACTGTTAGCTTTTTGGAGCTGAAAAGCTTGCAGATGGAAAAGACCGTAGCTGTTTCATGAAAGCTATCTGTTTTAAATAGCCATGTTTGGCAAAACTAACTGTTGTAAGTAGCTGAAATTATAAAATTACAATTAAGGGTATGATCAAATATTATTAATTAAAGAGAAAAATTATTAATTAAAGAGAAAATAGTATACATGCACATAGCTAATTTCAATTCAAAGAAAATACGAAAGAGAAAACACATCAATATCAAAACAGAATTTTCACACAATGTCATGGCAATGAAAAACACAAAAGAATCCCAACAAAAACAATCAAAGCAGACAAATAAACAGATTAATACATACAATCGTTTTTTTAGATTTATGTCAATGGTAGAATCAAGAAGTTTATTCGAGGTCAAAATTATAGTACAAGTGTACAACATACTCAAATTTATAACAACGTAAACATACGAAATTATACTAAATTACGTAATTTAAAAATACTAATTTTTAAATTTATACCAAATTTTATACACAGTACTAATTTACATAATTTAACAACGTAAACATACTTTGGAAATTTATAGCCGCAGAACAGAGTATAACGTTAACTCGAATTTATCAAATTTATTAGTAAAATTCTTCTCTGATGCATAGTTCTAATTACTCGACAGGAAGCTTAAACAGAGTATAAAGTTTACTCGAATTTATCAATTTTGAGTACAGATTAATGAATGAAATTTAAAAAAGAAAATCAACGAACACATGGGGTTAAGAATAGAGATCGATGAAGAAAAGAATCCCTGCAAGTTTTTTTTGAAAAACAGTGAAAACCAAGACTAATGATAATGAAGAGGATGAAATACTTGGGGCAATGCGAAGAACGGCAAAATTTTTGAAAAGTTCTTTTCGGTTGAACGCTGCCTTCTGTAGCGTCTTACAAAAGACCTAAAAAGACCTAAACTTCTCCCAAAAGCTATTGGGCCAAACACACAATAATATACCGTTTCATAGGTTGGATGAACCGTTTGCTTTTATAAGTTACTTTTTTATTCTTGGTTATATATTGTGTCAATGCCTCACTCGATGAATTTTTGGACAAAATTTGACTTTTACCTTTTTTCTATTTGTTTTTAAAACTTTTTTTTACTGAAGGTATATTCTATCTCTATCAAATATATAGAATTTGAGAGGTGAATATGTTAAGCATCGGTGTTAGTCTTATTATAGGTCTCTATCAAATATAGAGAATTTGAGAGGTGAATATGTTAAGCATCAACAAATTGGTGTTAGTCTTATTATAGGTTTTTCAAAGTCCAATTTTTTAATTAAATATCTACATATGAAATTAATTATAATCTATTCTTTCTTTTCTTAAATAGAGTCAGGAATAAACGAAAACTCAAAGTACTTTAAAAAACCTACTTGATTTGAAGGGAAATGAGCTTGCATAAGACCATTCATGAAGCATCTTCATGCACTCCAAACACTTCTCTGAGAATTTTTTAGCAACATGTTGAGGATGTATCATCTTCTACGGTGAAAGATCGACGAAGTGGATTTAGATGAAGATAATGTTGGTGATGAAAGTGTAGACTATAATATGAAAAAAAAATTACTTTTAATCTATTATTATAATAAAAACCGGTTATTTTATACCGACTTTTTGGGTATGAGTGATAGTTCAAAAAACATTCACAGTGAAAATCCAAAATACTCACCCTATTATGCACTTGAAACAATAAAAATCAGACCACAAATAAGACAACAAATGTTGCCCACAAAGAATTGTTTCAAAATAATTAGATTTTTATGTGTTGTTTTAGTTTATTAAACTTTTCGATGTGTATTAACATCATATTTTAACTTTCTTATATTAATTTTTTTACATTTACAGATTATTGAGGTAAATAGTACAGAGTAAATGGAAATTTTCACGATCTGGATATTTTGCTCAATTTGAAGGGAAAAAGAGCTTCCATAACATTTATGAAGCCAAAAGAACTATATATATATATATATATATATATATTGTAACCAGGGTTACCGGAAAAGAGCTTCCAGGGTTACCAACCTGAGAGGATGAAAATTCTAATACCCCATACAAAAATAAGAACAAAAACGAGATAAATAATATTGTCTACAAAGAATGTTTACAAATCTATAAATTTTTATATTATGTTATTTTAGGATATGAAACTTCTCAATGTGCATTAAATAGAAATTTTAATATTCCTATATTACATTTTTTTCATCTACGTATTACTCTTTGATCATAATATTTGGATTAAATTTTTCAGCCGTGCATCGCACAGGTGAGAATACTAGTTGTAAAGAAAACACAACTTATTATAATGTAAATTACTCCCTTCGTCTCACTACAATTGTCTCATTTTTTCGTTTTTACGGATCCCCTAAATTTGCCTCAATACTCATGTATTTTTGTGGTTTTATCCCTCATCACCCACACAAAACGAGGTTCGTAAGGGAAAGAACAACACAGGAAATTATGAAGAAGAACAGAGTAATCAAATCTGTGCCAGACCATTTCCTCACGACCGCCTTACCTTCCACTTTCATACTTCTTCTCATCAGCGCCTCCACCTCCTTCACCAAATTGAATTCCTTACCCTTCTTCTTCAGCTCCTCCACGCACTTCCGTATCAGCTTCCCGTCCTCTTTCTCTCGCTCCAGAAGCTTCTCCAGATGCGCCTCGGTGTCGGCCTTGTACCGTATTGCCCAGATCATTCCCAGGGAGCAGAGAGACGGGATCCACGATCTGCGGCAGTAGATTCCGGCTCCCTTCGGCCAGGATCGGGCGACGGAGCTGAAGAAGATCGTTAGGCAGAGGGATTGGAAGAGGAAGAAGAGACAGCAGAGCTGCTTGATCTCCTTTCTGAAGGAGTCGATTTGAGTCTCCTTTGCGACGATCCTGTTGAAGTTTAGATCTTCTTCCTTGAGCCATCGCTTGAGGAGGAGATCGTGGGTTGGGAGCTCGGAGATTTGGTGCAGTGGGTGAACGGTCTTCGCCTCCATGATTGAGGACGACTGTGTTGCGTTCTCAACATCCATTTCTGTTCTCTTTCTATTGGTAGAAAGAGGCGAAAACCATCGTTCAATTGCTCAACTGCTCTCTGAAAAAAATTGAAACAAAATGAGTCTGCATGAAGGCTCTTCATGCAGCCGAGGGCTTCATATCCCCGAGGGCTCTGTGTAGTCGAAGGCTTGGTTCAACCGAAGGCTTCTCTGATGCCGAGGGCTCAACAGTGCCGAAGGCTCCTGTTTTCCGCCGTTTTGTCCCATTAGCTTCGTATGACAAAAAAGGCTATCCTTTTGGAAAATTCTTAGTGTACATGACTTATATACAAATTGTACACAAATCCCCTAGTTGCCTGTGTACACAGGCAATTCGTATAAAAAGGAGCAGGAATTCATGTCAAATTGTCCGTGTACACAGACAATGCACACATTTTGTGTACAACTTGTGCATACCAAAAATTTCTTGGTCCCTATCCTTTTAGACAGAGAGAAATGCGAGATGAATGGATGTGGGTAGAAAGAGTAGTTGGGTCATAAAAAATGTGTGGGGCACTAAAAAGATTTTTGGAGAAAGTACTTAAGACCGTAAAAGTTTATAGTGTCAAAGAAAAAAGTGATTCAGAAAAAGTAAAAGTTGATAGTGTTTGATAAAAAGTGTTTTTGTTAATAGAAAAAGTGAAAAAAAGTTTAAAACATCATTCCACCTGCTTCAAGTTTTTAGCTTTTAAATGATTAATTTAATCAGAATCTGTCATTTGAAAACATTCTTTTCAACTTTTTTAAAATCAAAAGCTGAAAAACACCTTTTTAAAACTTTAGCAAACATTCCTTAAAATGGACCATACCAGTATTTACCACATTAAACTATCCTATAACTTTGGAAGGCTCGTCCAGCTTAACTTTGAACCTGCACATGAAGATGTTTAGTAGGAACACAAATAGAAACGGTACTCAATATAACTTTTTATCTCCAAAATATATAATCACTTGACATATTGATGGACCATAATGAGAAGAAATTCCAAACAATGTCAGCTAAAACACTACTCATTAGCTGTTGTAGAATACTCAGAATAAAAAAGCTTATAGAAATTCAGGGTAGAGCCAGGGCACTGGACCGAACTAGGTCAGTGCAAAAAAACGACATAGGGGGCCTAGGTTGCCCCCCCTATATCTCCACCCTTGAACTCGATAAAAAATGTTGTATACATTTTAAAATTCTCATTTAAAATTGTCAGTATCACACATTTTATGAAAAAATCTCGTCTAAAATGTCTGTGATACGGACAACTTTTTGTTTTTGTCTGTGTGAAAACCAGTTTTCTTCATAGAACGCCGGTCAAATTGTCTATATACAGACAATTTGACCAACGTATACACAAAGCGGGAGTGAAATGAATTGGGTGTTTTTATTGACAAAAATCCCAAGCCCGATTACTACAAGAACGGCCATAAAGAGTCTTCATTTATGGGAGGGGACGGGGGTATATTATAGTGTATGGTTTGACACATGGGGCGTCGATGTGTTTTTAAGTTTAGAATTGTATAGGGGTGGACTCGGGTCGGGCCAACTGGCCCGGACCGGTACTGTTTGTGCCCGGCCCGGCCCGGTAACCGGTCTGGGTGCCGGTTCGGGCCACCCGACCCGGTCTGATAGCGGTCCGGGCCTGCTTAGAAGTGAACCGGCCCGGGCCCGGGCCTCAACGGTCAAATTTTAAAAAAAAACAATTAAATAATTAGAGGCTCTGATCTATAGCCGTTGGGACTGTTCCCAAACGGCTCTATAGCCGTTGGGAGCATAGGAGGGGGGTCTGGGGGTTAGGGAGGTGGGGTGGGGGTGGGGTATACAAAAAAACCTATTTATACTCCTATTTTCTATACATTTTTTACACCTCTTCTTCTACAACTCTTCCTACTCTCTAATTCTCTATACTCTCAATCTCTCATATTCAATCATCTTCATTCTTCATCTTCTCCAAATTCTTTCTACATATATATAATTTATATAATTATTATATCTACATATATATTAATTATCTACTTATAAATATATCCTTATATATACTCATACACATTCATATTATAATTCTTTACACATTATATATACTATATATACTTATACACATTCATATTTACTTGATATTTAGTTATTATCCATACTATTGTTATTTACTTATATTTACATATTACATTTAGTTAATATATACTTATAAATATATATATTAAAGTATTAAGTATAAGTGTATTACTCATCTTATAGTAATATACTTATATATTATATACTATAAACATTATATTATATATTACTTATAATACATTTACACATTATATAAACTATATAGACTTATACACATTCATACATTTTATAAAAGTAGTCTCTCATTTATCTATTAAATTAGTTAATTGTTACATTTCTCTACATTTCTCTTTAAAGAAAAAAATTAGTTACTTGTTACATATCATTTTTCATTTAATATTAGTTAAACTAGTTAATTGTTACATTTGTCATATTAATATTAGTTAATTGCTACATTGCTCATTAAAGTAAAAAAACTAGTTAATTTTTACATTTTTCATATTAATATTAGTTAAACTAGTTAATTGTTACATTTGTCATATTAATATTAGTTAATTGCTACATTGCTCATTAAAGTAAAAAAAACTAGTTAATATTTACATTTATCATATTAATATTAGTTAAACTAGTTAATTGTTACATTTGATATACTCATATTTTAGTTCGAATTTGCTATAGTTTTCTTAGTCACATTTTATTATTACTATTGTACTCATATAAAATATTTTATATCATTTAATATTTGTTCAATTTTAAAGATGGATCGTGGTAGACATTCTGTAGATATGGGTAATCTCCAACGCAACTGCAAGAGGGAGATTGCGGCGACTCGTCCTACTTCACGCAAAGGCAAAGGTAAAGCGCGGGCCGAGTCTTCTTTTCAAAGTCGAGATGATTTTGAAACGGATTACCAACGGAGAGATGATATGGCGATGTCCGACGAGCAACTACAAAACCTATTGTCCCAAAATGATCCACGCTTTGCACAAGAACAACAATTCCCGACAACCATTGATGAAGAGGAGCTCGAGGATGACGATGCGGAGGAGGACGAGGGGGGTGACGGGACTCACGGCACCCCGGATGATGAGCAAGAGTTGGAGGACGAGGGCGGTTCAACCCAAATTGGTAAGAAATCTAAATCTCCTTTTATTGAAAACAGTTTTACAAAAAGGAAAGACAAAAATACCGATAAATGGTACGCAAGTTGCAATCATTGCAACAAAGAGTATAGCTTGGGAACTTCTGGCGGATACGGGAGTCTGACAAGGCATCTTAAGTCCGCCCACTTTGTGGAGTATGTGAAAATAGACAAAGGCAGGGGGAAGCAAACACAAATATCGAGGTTTGCAAATTCTCAACCCTTTTGTAATTTCTCATATGATGATCAAAAACATTTGATTGGTATGTCTCATTTAATTGTTGAAGAAAATTTGCCCTATAATTTTTCCGAAAGTCTTGCTTTAAGAGATTATGCTCAAGGTACTTTAAATCCTCAATTTAGAAATTATAGTCGCAAAACGATTAAAAAAGAAGTTATAAGGCAATATAACTTGGAAAAAGAAAAATTACAAACATTTTTCGCAAACTTTGATGGACGTGTTAGTATTTGTAGCGATATATGGGAGGATACTCATCATCATTTATATTATTTGGGTCTTACTGCACATTATATTGATGATTATTGGAATATGCATAAACGTGTTCTTGCTTTTCGTGAATTCAATGATCGTCACACTGCTGATAATATTTATATTCTCATTGAGCGTATTTTAATTGAGTATAATTTGATTGATAAGGTGTTTGCTGTAGGTTTTGATAATGCTAGTAATAATACTGTTGCTATACCTAGATTGCGTGAATTGTGTGGTGCTTCTACATTGATGGATAGATTTTTTCATCAACGTTGTGCATGTCATATTCTAAATTTGTGTGTACAAGATGGGTTAACGGCATTAGGAGATGCTTTGGAGGTAGTGAAGGGGGGAATTAAATTGATTTGGGCTAACACTCCACTAAAAATGCAATGGCGGCAATATCTGAAGGATAGACGTGTCAATTATTGTGCTTTTCCTAAAGATTTGTCTATTCGTTGGAATAGTACTTATAACTTAATTCAAGTACTTATTAGATATAAAGATCATTTTCCTGCTTTTTTAAGACAATCTTGTAACTATATTATAAACCAGGCTGACATCGACACTTGTGGAAAAATTGTTAATGTTTTGGTATATTTTAATAACGCAACTCAAACTTTTAGTCATGTTTATAAACCTACCGCAAACGAATTTTTTGTTGAAGCTATTAATCTCGCCGGCGCTTTTTGTAAATTTTCCGATGCCGCTTACGTTAGTTATTTTTGTGATTTCATGAAACAAAAGTTTTTAAAATATTATTCACATATTCCGCATATATATGGTATTGCATTTGTTCTTGATCCACATTATAAACTTGCTTACTTGGGAACTTGTATAGATTACTATTATGCTTCTTTTTTCCAACTCAAGAGTACGATGATAATCCCATCGACCCTAAACAAGAATACAACGAGGTTAGTAATTTATTTCATCAATTGTATAATGACTTTCATGCACAATATGGTAATGCACCCTCTCCCATGCCGCGAACGTCTTCTTCATCTAAAGGAAAATCACTTTTAAAATTTGCATTTAGTTCTCTTTTGAAAAAAAGTAGAGCAACTCATGCTACTGAACAAAGCTCAGTTAACGAGCTTTCTTTGTATCTAACATTGAATGTTGATTATGAAGTTGGGGATAACTTTGACGTTCTTAAGTGGTGGAAGGATAATGAAAGAACATTCCTGATTATATCAAAGATGGCTAAGCAAGTGCTAGCAATGCCGATATCAACAGTTGCCGTGGAACAAGAATATAGTGCGGTCGGCAACGTCCTAACCGATTATAGAATGAGGTTGAGCCCGAACTCTCTTGAGACGCTAGTTTGCTTCCACGATTGGTTGAAGGCCCAACGAAGAACTCAAGAAATGACCATCGCTCCCACCCGCCACTTTATGGAGGAAACAACCACCGAAGGCGGAGATTCAGATTGATTTTTTATTACAAAATGTATTACATTTATTAAATTCATCCTAATTCTCAATTGTACTTCTTATTTAAAATAAATATACTTGAATTATTTTATATTATTGTGTACATCAATTCAATAATCAACAAAAAAAAATCAATAATCAATTCAATAAAATTAATTTGTAAACTTAATCAATTCAAAAATTATTTTTCTAAAATCTAAAGGCTGTTTTTAAATTAAAAATACATTTACAATATGTAATTTGTTTAAATACTTATACACCTATTTTGTAACATTTGTAAATGATAAATCAAACCACTTTTCTAAGTAAAAATAGTTTTACTTAATTCATTAAATTAATTAACTTATTTTACAATATGTATAATTTTCAAAAAAAAAAAAAAACATTTTAAAATACAAAATAGCTCCCAAACGGCTATATAGCCGTTGGGGCTTTGGGTGGGGGGCAGGGGGGTCCCGGGGGTGGTGGTGTGGGGAGTGGGGT